TAGGGAAAGCTTGTAAAATTGAGTTTATTTAGCGAGTGCCGCTAAGCGAAACGCAAGGACGATGCACCGATTCGCTTTAATTCGACCGTACGCAAATGAATTGCTTTAGCGACCGGCCCTGTAATCGCCTTTGGAAATCCTGCTGCAGGCAGACGTAGGCCAGCCGCAATCGAATGTCGGGCGATCTGCTGTGTCGAGGAAATTCAGGGGGGATGAACACGTTGCACCCCTTCGGGTCCGTCGATCTTGCACGGCAGCATCGATTCGTTGGTTTAACGAATTTAATCGACGCCCTAATATGCCGGAGTACTGGCCGGAAACGTCGATTTCGCGGAGGAGTTTCCAATTTTCGAGCGGACGGAGCAGAAGAGTGGCGACGGGGAGAGGTTTGACAATTTCGCCGGGGAATTTTTGGGGGGTCGAGGCACGCTGCGGCCTGGTTTCTCGCTTCGTGATTGGTTTCCTCTCGCCTGCAGCCCTAGCACAGATTCTCGCGCAGCTAAACCGTAAAATTAGACCGATAGGTTGCTCCTCTTTTTCGCGTTCGTTTGATCTCGGCCAATCGACGCGGAAGATGGAAAGGGATTCCTTGACATTTCCGAATTATAATCGTCCGAGTAAATTTCCGATCAAGCTTTCCATCTACGAGATTGCTAAATTTCCACGCAAAGTGGCGGGGCTCTTAACTTATTTCCGACCCGACGACGAACGTTCAATTTCGCCGAGAAATACGCGGCTGCACCCTTCAGCCACTTCTCGAAGCGTTAAAAAAACGCGAGGACCGACCCGAATTCGAACGCAGCGCGACGAAACGTCGATGATCGACTCTCCACCCCTTTTCTAATCCCGCCTGGCGCGCCCGCGGCCTTCCCAAATCCGCCGCAAAATTAATTTCCGTCATTTTTTCCCCCCGCGACAAATTCAATCAATTCTGACTGGGCCGCGGCTATCGGATCGCATAACATAATCCCGTATCGTTTTCCATTTCGTTCGTTCGCTTCTTTTTTTCCCTTCTTTCCTTTTTTTTTTTTTTTTTTTTTTTTTTTTTTTCTATTCCCTGCACTCGACGGGAACAACGGGAAACGGCGGCTCCAGAGGGAGAGGAGTCGGTCCGGGAAACAATTGGGCCGCTCTTACCCCGATTCCGCGTTTAATCGTTATTTTCAATCGGCTGCAAATCGAGGGTCTGTTTAGGTTCGCCTATCTAGAACGTGTTTCATCGGGGAACGGAGGAGTGGCTACGAGTAGCCGTGGCGCATTTGGTATTGCCTCTCGATATCATACGATCAAATCGAGATTCTTTCTCTTGCCATGTATATTCCTCTACAGCTCGAGTTCGGCTCGTTCAAATTGTTACAGAGTGGTGGAAACTGTAAAGATCGGCGTTTGATTATTTCGTTTGCCGACGGGTATCGCGATGGCGGATAGAATACGGTATAAGTAGTGACGGATGGTGCATAGCCAGACACCACCCCCTCGCGATCGAACTGTCAGCTGTCGCGATACGTATTTAAATTCATAGGCAACTCCTGCAATTCCTCCGGTTCCCACCATTTTTCGTCGGGCAAGCCTCGAAATCACGTTCGTTACGGGCTTTTTCAACTGGTTACCGAGAATCGGTTACCGATTTACGGCGTAACCTCGGTCGCGATGGCGGCCGATGCCGGAAACGCGGATAATGTCGGGAACGGTCGCCACGGAGGCGTAGCTTGGCCGGACATAAATTAAACTATCAAACGAAACTGGCGGGTAAGCGATGTTTTTACGACCGTTAGTTACGCACTAGCAATTATATTAACGATGCGTTTCAATTAAGCTAATATGTACGGCGGACGTCGCGCGACAACCCCCGACGGGGTCGCCGCGTTTCGCGTTTTAACGCAGCCAACGCACAGCTATACGAAAATATCCGCTGCCGTCCAATACAATTAAACCGGAGGCGATACAAGCCCGAAAATAATGTCCGACGTTCTGTCCAGTATTTTTCGACAAAATGTTTTCCTTCGTGTATCCGTATTACCATCGCGTCTCGTTTCGCTTTCCGCTTCCTGCTCTCTCTCTCTCTCTCTCTCTTTTTTTCTTTTTTTAACCTCTACCCTCGTCCCTTCCACGCGTCCTTCTAATCACTGTTAGTGCATTCGGTATTTTCCAATTGTGCCCCGTTCTTTCCCGTTCTCTCGCGACATTTTTTCCGATTTCAACTTTTCCCCGTTACGTTTCCTCCCACATATTCTCGGGCACCGATCTTTCGCGATTAAAGTCCGGCCTCTTTTCCTCATTACCTTTTAACAGCATCGGCCAGCCAGCCGGTAGTTGGAAATTTTTTGAAATACCAAATGCAACGGCGGTTAACCGTTGTTTGTTCCGTGTCCACCGAGCAAGAGCAGAGAGAAAGGGAGAGAGAGAGAGGGAGAGAGAGAAATTGTTTCCCTCGCGGGGAATGTCTAACGGCGGTTTATTTGCTTCGGAGTTGTCGTCGAACCGGAGACCTTAATGTAATGCACTCCGGGCAATACTCACCCACGAGCAATTTAGATGTTTGGCAACTTGCAGAGCGTAATTTGCGGCTCCTCTCACCAGCGCCCACGGAGAAAGCGCGCTGCCAGACATTAGAACGCTGCGATGAAACAGCAGACCTGTAACAATTAAAAAGTAATGACCGATGGTTATCCGTCTCTCGTGCGTCCCCCTATACCTCTCGCCCGACCCGTAATTTCCATCCAATCTACGGAACAGCGCGAAATATAATGCTTCCAAGATGGACGTATATTTTCAAATCTATCAAAAGGGTGAAAGAAAAATCGCGACGTGGATTAATATTAAACCGCGAGTTTCCCGGATAAATAGAATTTCCAATTAAATTTCATCACCGAACGTTCTCGTGCCGTTTCGAGTAAATACCAACGGAAGTAGCTGTTCCCTCAGCCGGATGATTATCGGGAAAAAATGAAGCGATCCAGCCAACGCGGACTCGATCTTCGCGTTACCGCGAATTCATTCGGCTACTTGGCATGGAAGTAGCTCGTGTAGCAGTTTAAAAACAGGATTGTAAATGGTTGCGCGGGAGAACCCTTTGCCCCGTGGGTCTTCGTTTGCCAAACAACCCCTTCCGTCTCCCTGCCGCCATAAATCATCGGCGATGTAAAAAGGAAAATTGGAGAAATTTCGAAATCTCGTTCGGACCCCGGGGAAACGTGGGTCTAAGCGGAACGTTGTATAGCACGGTGTTCAACGGCGATGCGATTTTATCAGGCTTGATATCCATAAAACAGGATTTCTCGCGGAAGTTACTTAAATCTCGGCCGTCGTTAATCTTCGTATCGGTAAGCCAACGTTCGTCGAGTAACCTTATCGCGACAGTTGGCGAAGATACATCATTATCCGGGGATGGATCGAATGATGTTGCGCTTCGAGAGAAGCAGCACGGTACCCGCGAAGCTCCGATACGCGTTTTCAAGCAGCCGGTTATCGCGGTTTCGGCTGGCTTCGTTAGAGGATCGAGATAACGTTGTTTCGCTGCGGTAGACAAAAGCGGCGGCTTTTCTCTCGAAATCGGCTGGCTGAGTTTAATCGGAAACTTGGGAGTCGTTAATCTTCGTATCGGTGCCCAAAGGATTCTCCCGCGCAGATTTTCCTGCTGGATACCTTGATGAATTCGCGACGCTGCGGTTTCCTCTACCATCTCCCGATCGCCCGGTGTTTCGTTTCCCGCTGGAAAATGGCTCGCAATTTGCGACCCGACCAAGTGGTGAGCGTAAAATTCAGCGTGCGGGAATTTCGGGAACGTTACGGGTCGGGTGATACGGTTGTAGCTGGAGATGCGGGTGATTTGACCCGAACCGAAGATAAGGGCCTACGTCACCAACGTATACATCCACGAGAATGACTTTGTGCCGATGATGGCTGTCGATACCTATTCGAGAATCTTACGCGAATACGACACTTATCGCCTAGGCAAGTGCGTTGATCCATTAGGCGGGACTAGCTGCAGTGTTCGTGTTTCGCCGATTCAGACACTGTATCCCTTTGCTGTGTCAGTACGTGCCAGTCAGACTAGACAGTTGGTGACTGACGGTTTCTCTAACTAAGTGCATTCCTGTATACTGCATTATCCAAGTCATCGAGCTTGGATATACGCGAATATAAATGGAACATCGTCGTCGTTAATTTATTCCTTTGATCTCCGTTCTACGCCGGTGAAATTATTATTCGCAATTTTCGCGAGAATTTTCCAGCGAGTCGGGTATATCTAATTTAGCAGAAAAACCGACCCGACAGCTTCCATTTAACCGCATAGCCTTAAACCTTGTCACACTGATACTCGCCGAGGTGTTGTTACGAGGCGCGATTGTTCGATATCCAGTCACGGGAAAATTAATCTGTCAACTCGTCTATTAATATGCATATTTCCCGTTGGACAGCAGGCAAGATGGCGTGCCGTAACATCCGCCGCTCCAAAGTGGGCCACACTCTGAGATCTATGCCTCTCGAATTGATCCGCGGATAAGTTTATATCGCTTTAAAACTTGCTTTCAGCTCGGATAATAAACGAGACGCGTCTCGCCAGCGGCTGACTTATACCACTCGCACCGTTGACTTAACGGAATCGTTGTCGAGGTTAGGAGATTAAAGCTCGCGACCTTACGGCTATTTACCTTTCGCAGTTTTAATATTTACTCGAAGCGAAGAGTCGGCTGCCATTTCACGGCGAATCTTTCCTGCGAATTTATTCTCGGATCTAATGGCGGATTGTTTCGACCCGTCGAAAGTGCTGGAACGGTCCTCGAGCTTTCTTTCGGAATATTTCGTACCTTCTGCCGCGGTCCCATTAATGTTAAGCTCCTCGTATAAATCGTCGCATCGTTTTATTCGTATTCGCGGCATGCACGGAACGCGAATATAGAGAAAATACTGCCGCGACATTTCATAACCAATTTCTCTGACGTACATTATCTTGATAACCTGCATGACGCAGAAATATGCGAGACTCGACGTAATGCGTACTATTACTACGCATACCTCAAATTGCTCCCTTTCCTTCGGAACGCTGTCCCCGAATACGAATGGAAAGCGTTGAATTCGCAAAAATAACACACGACTGCGAGCTCCGCGTTCAATTTTTCAAATTACGCTCAGCGTTTCCCTTTGAAGAAATGCGAATCTTTCCCCGGGATGCGATTTTTCCGTTATTTCGTCGAAACGATGAGTAATGCTACCACAAAATTATTATATCCATTGTAGCAACGACGAAACTCGGATCCTATTATCGTTTCTGATATCGTTTATTACAATTACCCCAGGATGTCTGATATATTTCGTATCTATGCTACTTTCACACCCCTTTTCCTTTCTCGTCGCTCCAAACATTCAATCCCAATCTTCGAAATCTTAAATCCTCGATACTTGTGTACCATTCACCCTCTCATCCGGTCAGGGTAACTACTCGTTCGTTTACTCCTGTCGCTGGAGGCTCGTAGACGTCACGTCTGTCAGATATCGAGAGGACAAGACCAAGTTGAGGGTGACTTCGGTCTTAACTGTTGCTCGAGAGGTCGGGACGCATTTGTGGAACACATCTAGAATTTCCCAAGCTTCGACGTTGAGTGGCTACCATAACTTGGACCGCCTCAAGGCCTCCTTACCTCGGACCAATTAGCAATCACATTCGTACGTTCCTTCGCATCTCTCGAGACTAGTCGATTCGTCCTGGAAGCGTCGCGTGGTAATTATTTGGAAAATTCTCGAGATCCTATCTGGTCGAGTCTTCTCCTCGAACGTCTTGGTCGACGTACGGTTTCCGCGAAGCTTATTGGCTTATCAACCGTGGCAGTTGTCAGCATCGTCGTGCCTCGAGGAGACGACGATGCCGAGTTTACGAAAGCAGAAGAGGACGAAGAGGCAAAGAGGAGAGGAAAGAGGAGGCTTGCGTTCGCTGGTAATATTCATAACTTGCAAGCGGCTTACCCGTCCTCTCGTCTCGTACGAATGTTTATGCGCTCGATATTTAAATTAACCGACCACTCGAACAAGTTTTTCCTCTTTTCTCGCGGTTATAAATACAATCTTGAGCGTGAATATTCGCGGTCTCTCGCGGCATTAAGCGTCCCTACTTCGTCTTACCCTTCTATTTCCGTTCTTGCCTGGTAAAATGAATCGAAAGCTCCCGGGGAAATCGTTCCCTCTTGGCGATCACGTTCTTCATCGCTTTCCTCGCTATCAAGCGGACCAGGAACGAATAAGCATCGCGAGTTTTCGTTTTGCTCCATTTCATTTCCGAAGCATCGCTCCGGAAAAGTGCATTTTCCAGTTGCATTTCCTCGCGCTGCGTGTCCGCTAATCGAACCGCGAATCACGGCGACTGCTGCAATCCTCGATAGCCACTTCGTTCTTCGAACGATGACGTAACCAACAAGAACGATACCGGCTTTTGGCGAATTTCGCTTTCATAAAACCGGCCGAAAGAACGGGCAACTAAATACGGTTATCTAAATACGTTTCCACGGATGAAACGAATCGCGAGGAGTCGACGAATTAATCCACGGACTACCGCTTCTGACAGCGAGGCAGAAGCTTTAACGATCTGAGATCCAAGGTACGCGAGGTGCGATAATTGTAATTCGGAATACGCGTTAGTTAACGATAGAGAGTTATCAAACTGGCGAAAAAGGGCGGGAAAATGAACGAAATATTACAGGAACGGAGAATATTGGGACGAGGGAACAATGTCGAGGAAGGGTAACGAGAACCTTTTTGATTAAGAAAATTGGATACCGTGTTCTTCGCGGCGTACTTCGAATTCCAATCGAACCCTAACGAACTCGAGACTCAGAAATCGATTAAATCGATAGTAGTTCACCGACAACGATTCATTAGCGGTGCCTTTGAAGACCTCGAGCTAGCAGGTTGCCGGTAATAGATGCACAGGCTGCGTTGCACGCGTGCACAGGCACGTAGCTGCACACTGGCAGCTGCACGGTAATGGGTAGCCGAACAGCCGCATCGATCCATCCGTTCCTCCGCATCTTCCGTCCTCTCGCCTTTTCCGGTTCGAAAGTGGCCGCGGGCGTCGCGACGCGAACTTTTCCCGACGATCGCTGCCTGTCCGCCTCGTTAACTCCACGCTCTCTCGTGCTTCCATGTTCTCCCTTCTTCCCGTCTTCCTCTATTCTACTTTTCCTCCCCGACAACGCCAGGACTTTGTTTGCCAAGTTTTCAGACCTGTCCTCCCGATATTCCGAATCGTTCGCTGATTTACAGCTGGCTCGTCGATGATTAACGCCGCGACGATCGACCATGTTCGAGGCAGTATCGGTTCCCCGCTTACGACGAGGATATACGGTATCTTAGTCGATCATGCCGAGTCTATTCCTTGCGCAACGATTGCCATCCACGGAGAGGAAAAAGGATGAAGAAAAATCATTCATCGCGAGTCCCAATTAAAGCCAGCGCGAAGTACCGATTTTTCATAGCCCAGACGAAGGATCGAGGAAATATCGATACGAACCAGGAGTCACGATTAGCGCGTGCATCGTCGCAACCGATTCACCGAGCTGAGGGTTAATCGAGAGAAGGGAAACTGGGCCGATAACATCGATTCCGCGGCCCTCATGTTTTATTGAATACGCTCATTGGCCGCGTCAGTGCTCTCCTCTCGAGCCGGTACTCGACCAAGAAAGAAATCGTTTCGTCGCCGACGACGCGAGGCATTCCTCTCACGGTCAGAAGCGCGCACAACGCGAAACGACCTCGTTAGGGAAGCGATTTCATCCACGCCTTTACCCGCGATTCTTTTCTTCCCGCTCGCTACTACGTGTATCCTCGTTCTTCGCGTCGAGAACTCGACAACTCGAGGACCACCTCGCATGGGTGGAGACTTCATTGGCAAGCTTCAAACATCGAGGGTTCGACACCCGCTGAATGAATCGGTGCAGTTGCACCCGAGTGTAGCAGGAAAATTCCAAGGACGAGGATTTTTCCCCTAATAGGCGGCTCGATCGAACAGTCCAGTCGGGTAGCTCGGATCTGCCACTCCGTGCATTCGAAAATTCAAAGTGACGATTTATCGAGCTTCACGGAATACGTAGACACGTTCCACGGCTACGCGACATGCCTTGCGTCGTACCTGTGGATTCGAACTCAGACGACATTGCTGCCGGTTTATTAGTAAGACGAATGGTGCCCAAAGGATTAATCAGAGGCCGTGACTTAATGCATGATTTGTAGCCGTCGAATTTTCCCTCCCATCCGCGTATATTCTAATTTCCCGGTTATCTTGATCCAAGCCGCTCGTAACGGAGCAAAGTAGTCTCGCTTCCTTTTCGCGAAGACGAAACGGGAACCGGTGAAAACGAGCTCGGAGAAATAATTGGAAAAATTCTGTCACCGCGACCAATCAGTTTCCATCCCCTGTTCTCGGTATTACGAGCTGTTCGCATCGAACACGTAATACGGAAACGTGGTACGATACCCAACGACACCCAGCGATATTTCTACCCACGCAATTAGCAGCAAAATTAATTGGACCAACGTTCGTGCAACTTCGTTGATACCATACGTTTCGTAGACGCAGAGCCACGCCGGTTATTGGTGCCCCTCTGAAAAATGGCCGGCGGTTTACGCTGAAATTTCTAGCTCTCGATTAGTTTCACCGAGGACGGTGATCATTTTTTCCCGCGACGTAGAAGTCCAAAGGGATTAAACAGCCTTAGCCCCCCGTCCCGCGATCCCCGATTCCGCAGCTTCCGAGACCCTGGCCGAACACACTGGCACATTCCCAGACAGGGGCGAGTATTTATGTAGAGTGGAGGAAGGTGAATGGCTCGGGGTGATCTCCCCTTTGGTGGATCGCAGTTGATAGCGATTCTGTTTGGTCTGCCACCTGATAGAGAGTTCCTAACCGCGGACATTATCCATTCGGAGCCGGTTGCCTGCGTAGATTAAACTCAACGGATTAGACCCCATCAGAGGGCGACCGGTTAAAGGAGCCAGCGATCCGATTCCGGATCGATCGCCTGTGCTAATGCTAACGTTTCGCGCTGGCATTTTAGCGATTGCCACCAAGTTCCTTGCATACTTTCGCCAGCACCGCCAGCGAATCTTCTGATAAATTCTGAGACCCGTGAACTAGCGGAAAGTTCAGCTGCTTCGTGATCGCACCGCGTTTCGGCCTGGCTTCTGGTCTTCCGTTGTTCCGAACAATTAATTGCTCGAAGCCGGAACTATCGAAGCGATTGGATCGGTTCGCTCCTCTAATCTTTCGCGAAAGTTACGTCGCTACATAGCAAAGCTGCGTAGCGTTAGCGTTAGCCTGCATTTTCCGCTTGTTTATCCGTCGAGAGTCGCAATGAGAGATTTCGGGGGTGAAATTGAACTGTCGCGTCGGCGGAGTTGTGACTTGAAAAGAATTTATAAGCCGTGTTGGCGTGCACCGTTGGGCAGGAACCATCGATATAGCGAAATCTCGCGAGGGTACTTTCTTTCGTTTCTCTTTTTCGAATAACATTTCGAGCATTGTATCCCTGTGACAGGTAGCGCGTTAACATTGCAGGAGTGCTCGTTCTGGCCGTGTATAAATCACGGAAAACGTTATAAAGGCCCCGCTCGGATAAGCTCTCAGATTCGCCGTGCACGCGTTCCACTTTGAGCCCGGATAATTAGAAAAAATGCATAAGTCTCTCGTGATACGCGGATTACCGTGCACTTTCAATTAATTAGACCGATCGATTCCGCTTGTCGCTGTTTGCGCCGGCGGAAATTCGCAATCTGGCTTCGCCAAGGAGCTTCGCCGAGATTTCTACGACTGCCCCGTTAACGATTCTCGAAATTGTCGATAGCATTCGGATCTCCAAAGACCGCGGTCATGGAGGGGAGTATGTTCCGGTAGACAGGAGTCAGCGACGCGAATAAATCTCGCGGAACGTTGAAACGGTGTAGCTCGCATTTTGTAATCGGAGCAGAGGAAAAATCTCGACGGCGAGAAAAGGGGAAAAAGAGGAGAATATAGCACGGGCGCGAATCGAGGCCCGCTTTTTCCATTAAAGCGATCCTCCTGGACAGAATTGCCGTCATTCATCGTTCGGGCCGACGGTGCTGATGCCATCAGCGCAAATTACACGGCGCATTTTACGTCACAAATGGCGGCGTTGCGTGGCATTTGCTGGTCGTGGACTCATTAAACGAGCCTTTCGCTCGTAATGCCTCTCGACGCGCGTTGCTCCGCTCGACGACGAGCGCGCGACTTTTCCCCGCGGCGCGTCACACCGGCCGCAATAAACCTGCTTGTTGTTCGCCTCGTCGTCCTCCTTTCCCGCCGCGAGTCCCAGAAGGATTACCGGCACGGAACGAGAACCGTGGGTGGATGGAATCGTCGGCCAATACCGAGTTAAGCCGCCGTTGATCGGCGTCGAGGAACGTTTAGGGGGATCTCGCCGTGAAAAGGGGAGGTAAGAAGATAAATAAGAGAAGAGCGGAAAAGAAAGGGATATTTCGTTCGTTACGTTTCCCAGATTTTTCAGCGAATTCGTTGCTATCTCGAGAGACCGTTCGCTCGTCTGTTACAACCGTTTTCATCTTCGTCTCTATCGAGAAGTTTCGACGGAAGCCTTATCGACTGCGAATCAACTCGCCATCCAATTTTCCGCCCAACAGCCAGGCGAGCCTTGTTCGTATGCGCATATTAAAGTTAATCCCATCCGTATCCAGGCAAGTCGCCGACGGTCAGGCGAGGGGTGGTTTACCAGGCGCGATCAATTAGGGGTAGAATCAGCTGGTCTAACCCGCATTGACAGTTTCCAGCTGTAGTGAATTATCGGTCGGTCGGGTTAACGATAAGCTGGGGCCCTCCGGGCAGATTACTTCGTTGTTTTTCCCCGCCCACCGAGGATCGATTTGTCTTCCGTGCGCTGAAACACCCCCGGCCGGTCTCTGCTCACGCGACGTTAGCCAACGAAAGGCTGGAGAAATGATTTTCACCGAGCTGCAGTTATTAATTCCTCCGGCTGATACGACCGGTGTCGAGTTTGAAAGAAATTTATGCGCCTGTAGATCGTGTTCGTGAAAAGCCTGGTCGTTCTCGGTGCCCAGGAGCGAACGATTCGAGGATCGCAGGTTCGTAACGCTGCACGACGGTACCCCTCGCTTGACCCTTCGCAGAGGAGGCTCTCTTTTCACGCAGCAGGTGGATAAAGAACGTGAGAACGATCTCCGAAGCGACGTTCCCTGGACAAAGCGTCGAGACGCTGGAAAGGGGAGGTCTTTATCGACGAATTCGAGCAGGGCCGTAGCAAGGGGGTAGACGGTGGCTGGAAACGAAGTTGGCCGGAAGCTGGTGACTGTTTTTGCCCGTGCAACCCTCGTTTACATCCAACGCTTTAATCTCGAATATTCCATCGGTTATTTCTAGACTTGGCCGTTAAAAGGGTTAGCGTGATCCGACGTTAATTATTCCAAGGGCCAGCGCACGGCAGAAATAAAGTACACGCCGCGCTGCCCCCGACACGCTCCAAGAAGGGTGAATTACCTGTGATTCGATTAAAGAGACGCGATTCCTCTGACTGGCCGAAGAAACTCTTTTGATCTCCGGCCTCGTCGCGTTCCACCCTCTGTCGGCGTCTCGTGCTTTTAATATTCAAATAAACCACCCCTGCTTTCGATCGCGACCGCCAAACAGTCGCCAAACACGTTCTCGTCTTTTTACGGCCGTCGGTGGATCGAGGGGTGCTCGGATGTTTACCTTCCTTGTAGGCGCAGGATTGGAGGATTCCGATGGAATACGTGTCTACGGATTTACACGTGATTTATAAACAGATCGAACCACGTATTCCCGGGAATCTAAACTACTCGAGTTTTCGTATCGTTACAGCTAGTGCAAAGAGGGAATGATATATTCCCCAAGCTCCAAAATTTCACCAGGAGGATAACCGGATATTCTTTCCAGTCGTGTCTCGCGATCACCCGTATAATCGGATCTCCCGGCAAGTGTATTTCCGGGGAGGATAAAGGGCGAGGGGAGAAAAATACTCACCGTCCGGCACCGCGTGACTGGTCATGAGGAAATTGACGCAGGCCGCTCCAGTCCCGTGGCCGATCAACGTCACGTTCCTCGGATCTCCGCCGAAGTAGCCGATGTTCTCCTGCACCCAGTGCAGCGCCGCGATCTGATCCATCAGCCCATAATTCGCCGGCGAGCGTAAGTGCGAATCCGTGTTGGCGTTTAGAAAGCCTGTAATCAAAACAAGCCTGGTTATGCTCGTTTCCCCGCGTCTCGGTATTACCGCCGTGGCCCGCTGTGGAACCACGATCGAATTATCGGTACCCCAGCCCTGCGCTGCTCCAGCTTAACCCCGATCGATAAAATTAACGCGAAGGGCGTCGATTTAGTCCTCGGCACCTTCCTTTGATCCTCGAATAATCGACACGCGTAAAAAGAGTCCTTTGAATTTCCTTGCCTCGAATTTCAAAGCCCAGCGTGCTCGACGAACGCGATGCACGAGGTAAAATGGACCCTCGACAGCTTCCTCGAGCATCGGGGCTGAAACGAGGGATGAATCGCGTGGAATCGGCTGTTCTTGACCGGGACCGAGATCCGAATTCGGATGGTCTCGTATGTAAACGCGCGTGCAAGCGAATACAGGGGTGGTTTCCGGACGAGGCGGAAGCGGAAGGGGCGTAAGAAAGGCGAGCGTGGCTGTCGAAAGGAAACGAAGCCACTTGGCGGGCGCGAAAGACACCTCTGACCCAGTGGCCACGGCTTTTCCGCTCGATCCCGCTTCCGCCAGCCATAAATACTATTTCAATGGGCTGCATCGATTGATAGCGATATCTCGGCGCCGTGGCGCGGTATGGAAAATGGAACACGCCGTGGGAGCATCGAATAAATCGTTCGATTATTTGATCGACGAACGACCCATTTCATATTCATTGCCGTTTAATTGGACCCGCTGGTTCCCAGAATTCCTCGCCTCATCTTTTTTCACTCGGCGCCCACCGCGTACGCGGAAATACGGCCGCAACTATTAACGTACGCGTTATTCGCGTGGACGGAATTTTTCGATATCCGTCTCGCTCGTCGGGAACAGGATTTTTCGTTCAGCCTAATCGTGTTCGGTTCGCTCGAAATCGCCACTGGATTCACCGACGCTTCGTTCTGCTCCGGCTCGCACGTCGCCATAGAACTGCGAACAGCTTCTGCGGGGCAAGGAAAGAAGCTGCAGGCGGGAGTGGAATAGGTAACGATAATTCAACTACGTATAGTAAGTCAAACTTCCGAATGATAACTTGGAACATCTGTTGCAATACTTAGCGAAGCAATAAAGAGTTTAATGAGTTTCGCTGTTCGAATTAAACTTTCCAGCAGCTACCCGATTGAGAAGCTTTAACTTGAAAACCTCGGACTTATTGGACTACGATGATCGAACCGAAAACGGAAAGATGCGCGAAACAGGGACAGCGCGAGGGGGGAAATAACGAGAGAATGGCGGAATGGTAACGAAGGAGCGAACGAAGGGGCAACGGGGGGAGAGAGGACGGGAAAATAAAGGCGAATAACGGAAAAAATGAGGGAAAAATAACGAGAAACAACGAATTCGTTTTCGTTCGATCGGACGTGCAAACGAATAAGCAAATAAAAGGCAGCGACTCTCGCCGTGCTGTCGGTCCTTTCAAAAAACTCGAGCAATGCACTCGACGCGACACGACTCGGTTCGCACCCTTAACTATTCCACCCTCTGGCAATTGCTCGTTTACGCGACGATAAACGGAATGACTTCTCTCTTGGAAATTCCTTTCGACCGGCTCCCGTTGTTCCCGGCAGCCGCATTTTTCCACCAGCGTCGACGAGCTAGCCGAATTATCGGTTTGGCACCGGTTCCCGGGAACAGACGGTGGAACGACGTTGACCCATATTCCACGGGCATGAACGAAGATTCCCTTACAGAGGCTAACGGGCTGGCGAATGTACACGACGACGTAAAGTCTCTCCATCGCGGAGAATTCGTGGTAAAAGTGTTCCCGTCGTGCTGACACAAAGCCGCGAACCACTGCGAACCCTTTTCATTTTTAATCCGACCACATTTCGCGCTTGCTTAATCGAGACGCCTTGCCACGGGGGGGGGGGGCGGAGGGAGGCAACGAGATCAGATCTATTTCGTAATTAGCCTTCACTCGAGACAACGTCGCGCGTATTTAACGCGCATAACCGCGGTCCGGTCTAACAATGGGGCGAATTAACTCGCAGCCCTCGCCGACCTTGTAACCGTATCGGAAAATGTATTTCGAACTCTGCACGGTTCGCAACAAAGTTGCAAATTAATTCCAGCCTTTTCAAAGCTGCCACCGTGCAGCTTCGATCAATATCGAGCGTATTCCGAGTTCGTAACGATGTTGCACAATGGGGTAGTTCCCCGTCTGACCTTGCAGCGTCGTTGAAAATTCCGTGCACTTATCCAGAGGGTGCATCGACACCCCGGCCATTCCGCGTGCATTCATCCGCTTGAGGAACGACGAGGATCCACGATCCGCGATCCACGCGATTCCTCGAGTAACCCAGTTTTCGCAACCGGACCCTGGAGTTATCGGTTTCGTTTCCGTGAAATATCACGGTTCTCGGAATCGGCCCCGTTCGCGTAAGATTTCGACTGCGGCAGAGGGCGAGCGTGGACGGTGGAAAGTCGGTGGAAAATGGGCGAACGGTATTGCAGGCAGGGCCGATAATAAGAGGGTGTTTAGCCGCGTCTCGCGGCGTGTATGGAGTTGGCGAATAATTCGAGAGCGCGACTGGCTGCGCGATATTAAGCGAAATTGCCGGGAATAATATAGGAATTTACATTTAATTTCGAGAAATGGAACTGGCCGGGGGCGGGGAAGGTGGGAAGGGATCGCGGGGAAAAGAGAAGAGAACGCGCGAGCTACGTGCAACGAATTTCTTTCGACCGGACCTGAATTCGCAGACAATTTTCTCGTTGGACGATCGCCGATAAATTAATTTCCCCGGGAACATGCCAATTAACCGGGCTGGTACGGCCTCTCCAAGTGAATTCTTTTGTTCCGCCTTTCGGTTCCAGCTTTCGGAAAATCTACCCCCGTGTATCGAACGGGATTACCGTATACGGAATCAAAGCGGTACAACTTGCCACACCGGGGTTCTAGGAATTACGCAACGAAGGTATTTAGCACGGCATTTGTTCCAACGGCATCCGCGGTTAGAATTGTCTCGCGGAATACCTCTCGACGTTTAATTCGTTACCGTGAAAATTCGCGAACACCCCCGAGTCGCTGCCGAGTTCAAAGGATACTTCTCCACGCGTATTAAAATAACGAGGCTTCTCTTTTCAAATCCTTCAAGTGGATGTAAAAGCGAGTGACTCTTAAAGAGCGCGAAGAATGAATCCAACGGTATAAAGGGTTCGCGTTCGAATTAATAGGAACGTTCAACCGTGTGGTTGTACAGCGAGCTTCGCCGATAATTCGTTAATCGATTCCGCCAAAAAGTTTCTGCCGAGCATAATTACCGATGGAAGCCAGTTTCAATGCGTTCTCGAAACTCTTGACGCGATAAATAGGAAAAAAAAAGAAAGAAAAAAAAGGGAAAAGTTGGGAAAGAAGAAAAAGGAAAAATCTCGGCGAACGCCCTTCGCGCGATATTTACCCGAACGACTCGTAAGTGTAATTAAACGATATTTTCCCTCGTTTACGGTTAAAGGGGTTATTACGCAAGGAACAGTAGTCAGTGAAAAACTGTGGGAAAACTGTGTAGATATTTATTTAACGGACGAATGGTTAGAATTGACCTGTTCAGGGCCTCGCAGGTCAAAAGTCGTCTTCGGAAGATTGGTGACAAAAGACAGAACATTGGAGGAAGGGATCGCCGCCCCCACAACGCTGGAATGTAGAGTTTGCTTCGCTATTGCATTTTACCCTAACATTTTCGGAAAAGACGACGACTCGCGTAATTTGTGCGATTTCGTTGCACGATCGACGAATAGAATGTAAACGCATTTATTCGAGAGGTCGAAGATATCGATAAATCCGGTCGGTCGCCCCAGTCCGTACGCATTCGGTATGGATCGGTGTGTACCGGTTCGTTGAATTCGTCACCCTCAATTTCGGCACACTTCGAGATGATCGATGAAAACGAGATTTAAAGCAACGCTTACGTTCTAAACAATGCGCGTTGAATATGCATGCGCGATTCACAATTTTCGCCGGATAATATATCGCGCGGCAATTTTCTAGGGTGCGCCTCGTCCCTCCCCGCGTGTTTGTACAACGTTTGATCGATGACGTTTCCAACTGTATTACGATCTCGTTTTATAGCTTCGTGCCATCCGAACGCGATCCCGCGCGATAAACGTTAAACGGAACGCCGATTGCCCCGTGGCTCGAGACAAACGTCAAAATCGAACGGGCCAAACGATCCTTTGAAAGACGAGTAACGAAAAAAAAAAAAAAAAAAAA